CTGGGAAGGCCACTTATCTCTCTGTGTAACTGTCTTCCATCTGCAAACTGGGGACAGGAAAAATGCCCACTGCAAGGATTGCTGTGAGGATTAGGCCATATGCTCCAAATGTCCACAACAAGTGCTGGCTACTGCTAATCTTTCTAACTTTAACTTTAAAAATCTGAATATTTTATTAAGGTATAGTTGACGTACAGTCAGCTACTGTCAATCTCACAATACGAAGGATGGACGACAATTGTGAATAATCACGATTGTGATGCCGAATTTCACAGACGTGTTGCTCTCTCCCTGCTGTCCCCTCGCTGGGAGCAGGGAGACCTCCCTAAAGTAGGCATGCTTCCCCACAATACACAACAGGACACTGCGACGAGAACCCCGGCAGGTGTCACAGTGATTTCACCGTCCCACATCCGTACCCTCCTCCCAGGCTGGAGCTGTGTAGACAGCAAACCTCGCAGTGGCCCGTGGCTGAGACTCCTGGGCAGCACAGCGAGGGGCGCACACAAGGGAGCGTTTGTCCTCTGCCCGTCCCCTCCCCACATCTGTCGTGATGTCAAGTCACGTGGCCTTGCTGGCAAACCCCGATGAATATGGGTATTGTTCCCGTGCACGCCCGGCCCAGACTGGGCAAGGGGACAAATGCAGCTTGTCTTGGAGTCAAGTCCCATCCTCCTAGGTCGTCCACTCCATGGGGCCACAGGCTGGACTTGGGGAGGCAGGTCCGCCCTGCCCACACAGGGGCACTGCAGGAGAAGGGGCAGCGCTTTCGGGTCTGGGCTCTGACTTGGGGACCCCAGTGAGCGGTAACACTGCCCCTGTTTCTCCCCGTCTCCTCATCTCTCCCCACTGGGGCAAGACAACAAAGGATGAGGTCCCTCCTTTGACCTCCATTGCAGGGTTGAGTGGGGATGATCCACAGACGTGCTCTCTTTCCGTCCAGATCCCAGCCTGGCCGGGCGACCCTGGCAGAAGGCAGAGGAGTCAGGGTGGCGGCAACAGAGAGCCACTAAAGGAAAACGCATTTCCCACGCAGAGAGAACATTCTCCTAATGGGCCTGTCGGTTAATATTAAATATTCAATCTTGCTCGGACAGCTGTTAGATCTGGGGTGTCTTGGCTTCACCCTCTCCATCCAGCGGGGGATGAAGATGAGCAATTCCCTGGTGGCTGTTTATGGGGATTTTGGACGGCAGCCGTCAAGCCATAGGGCGGCTCAGCTATGAGTAGCAACCCCAGAAGCCTTCCGTCCACTGCAGGGTGAGGGCTTCCCCTTGCACAGGCTCCGCCTGGTCTACACCCCGAGCTTGTGAGCAGGGGCTGACGGTGATAAATGACAAAGCATTCCCCTTTATAAAACAAGTGGATGCTAGCTTTCAGTCTGACTCATGGAAAAAGTTATTTGTCACGGAGCCTTCTCTGGGATTTTACTGTATTCACTTGCTTAAGGGCTGTTTGTTCTGCTTTCTTCAGGCTGACATTACAGGCCTAGTCCAAAAAAAAAAAGCTTCTAGTGGAGCAGTAGCATCTGCCGTGTCCTTTACACAAAAGCCTTCTTTTCCACCTGTTGATCGGGGCTCCCGGCCTGGGGAAGGCAGGGGACACGTCAGCCTCCCGTCATCACCCCCATCCCATCTTGCAAACACTGCTCCCCACACGTTCGTGTGCAGAACAAACTCTGGCCGAGCCTCTGGCCTCCACTTGCTGAGAACAGTTTACTGTCTCCAAATAAGTCAAGCAGGGGTTCCGAGGAACCCTAAGTCTGCTCCCCGATGGCTCTCTCCCCGTCCCTGTCCATCCCACTGATGGCTGGACCAAGGACTGAAGAAGGGCTGCTGGGCTGGGACCGAGAAGAAGAAGCTCCCCAATTCGTTTGCAGCCTGGGATTATGGATACTGTTGACGGCCTGAATCTCCAGGGCCCGAACTGGAGAGAAGGCCCATATGAGGCTGTCAGCCGTTCTGGATCCGCTAGAGGCTGTTCTGAACGTTGCAAAGTTGCTTCCCTCGCCTCTCTGCCTGATTATGCATTTGTTCTCTACCTTGAAAGCTGTGGCCCCGCTGGAGAAAAGACACCCCTGGGTCCTTCAGGTTTCCTGAAGGGTCAGCTGCACGGCCAGGCTGGCCTGTGGGTTGCCCTGCAGATGGTTTGTACCCAAGTGCAAGGGACGGTCACCCCATGATGTCAGGAAGAGCAGCCGGGATGGAGCTGGCACCCTCTGCTGGAAGAGGGGCTGTGGGTCAATGCAAAGGCTGATGTCACAGCCCGAGGGGGAAGGGGACACAGAGAACGAAGCCTCCTTGGCCCTTTGCCCGGCTATGACAATTATTCAGTTGCCCAAAGCACTCAGCGAACCGCGGGGCCCAGCCAGGCCCAAGTGGTCAGTCGCTGACTGTGTTCTATGTGATGTCACTTGCATCACCCTCCAAGCCCTGGGCTTCTGCCAGCAGAATGAAGTCTTCAAAGCTGAGCCCTTTCCCAGGAAGGGGGTCCAGTGCAGAGGGTTTGTCTCTGTCTATGAGAGCTCAGCGGGCAGTGGCCACTTGTCCCTCAGTAGGGGTTTTGCTGTGTCTCTTTGGGATGTGCCTTCGGACCAGCTCCTGGCCACCTCAGGTAGGACCACGGGCCATCAGAAGGACGCCACAATGACCAGGGAATCTGAGTCCTGGGAGATTCCTGGAGGCAGGCTTGGCCCCTCTGGCTGTATGCTTGTCACTCTCCTGCCACCTGCCTGACTTTCCTACCTGTCACCTGCTGGGCTGCTGGTGCCGGGGGCCTGTCTCCTCCAACCACAATTGGGGCAAAGTCAAAAGGCCTAGGGAGGGACTTCCCTGGCGGTCCAGCCAGTGGTTGGTACTCCATGCTTTCACTGCTGAGGGCCCAGGTTCAATCCCTGGTCGGGGAACTAAGAGCCCATAAGCCACGAGGCCAAAAAAATAAAAAAGAGTGAATATATGTATAACTGACTCACTTTGCTGTACACCTGAAACTAACACAACATTGTAAATCAACTATACTCCAATAAAAAAAAAAAATACACAGAATGAGCCAGAGTCCTAGATAACAAAACAGAAACTGGTCGTTGGAAGCGACCAGAGGTATGGAGTCAGGCACCCGCAGAGCATGGGGAGGCCGGGGACTCGCTCTAGGACAATGCCACCTGCTTGCACACGCCTGCTCCCGGATCTGCTCTCCCTGCGGAGGGTCCCCAGCTCCCTGTTGTGACGTGACATGGAGAGCTCAAGGCCCGTCCTCAGCCCCTGCCCCTACCCTGCAGTCCCACTGCCCCAGCTCACAGAGTGGCATTCCAGGCCTGCCGAGGCTGCCAAAAACCTCACAAAAGAATGCTGTAGTTAAAACAAGTCAGGGCCCTATGGAAACCTGCTCCCTAAAAACCCTGTGTGTGTAGTTTTCAATGTACTTTTTTTTTTTTAACTTTATTTATTTATATTTGGCTGCATTGGGTCTTTGTTGCTGTGCACAGGCTTTCTCTAGTTGCGGGGAGCGAGGGCTACTCTTCGTTGCGGTGCGCGGGCTTCTCATTGCGGTGGCTTCTCTTGTTGCGGAGCACAGGGTCTAGGCGTGCGGGCTAGTTGTGGCATGTGGCTCAGTAGTTGTGGCTCACGGGCTTAGTTGCTCCGCAGCATGTGGGATCTTCCCAGACCAGGGCTCGAACCCGTGTTCCCTGCATTGGCATGTGGATTCTTAACCACTGCGCCACCAGGGAAGAGCATGTGTGTGTAGTTTTAAAAAAAAGTATGCTGTGCTTTTCTTTCCCTTACTTTCTTTCTGACAATTGGGAGACACTCCCTAAAAAGCCCCAACTAACAGCACCACCAAAAAGAGATGAAGGCAGGGAAACCATCCCCAGACCCAGGTGCCTGCGGGGCCACCAGCTGGAGGCTGGCCCTGGGAGGCGGGAGGGGGTCATGCACCACTGGCCACCGCGTTCTTCCTGAAGGTCTGGGTGATAACACTCTTCAGACTGTTTGCTCCGTCTTTTTTTAAAAATAACTTCTTTGGTGGGTGGAAAGGAAGTGACCAAACTTACACTTTGAGCCTGATGACATGACAGCATCCTCCTAAAAATAGGGGGCTGCTTTTGTTTCTTGCAAATGAAGTGTTTTCTATCCCCCAACCAGGCGAGGGGAGAGCCGAGAGGGTCTGTGAGCTGACTCAGAAACCAGGGAACTGCCTCAGACAGGCCCCGGCCCTCCCACTTCTGTTAGAGATGCTTACACGGCAATATGCTGGTGAAAGTGACAGAACGATGCTAGAAAAAGATGCCAAAGGACCCGTGTGCAGAAAGAAACCTGCTAAATCTATTTATCTTCAAACTGGAAGCCTTTGCCCTAAAACAAAATCACTTTAGAAAACAGATAAGACTTAACATGCATGGCCTGTGCCCCAGCGCAGGGGTCTGAGGGGCTGGTGTCTCTTCTAGTCTCTCGTATTAATCTGAATGTTATCCAGGAGGCAGGTCCTCTGGGTCTCTGAGCCCCTATCTGAACCGTGGGGGAGAGGCTCCCTCTCCTTCCCCTGGCTCTGTGGGTCCGCAGGACAAAGTTTTTTAAATTAAAGAAATGATCCAGGCTTCTTAGACATAAAATTCAGAGAGAAGTTCAGAGACAAGAACAGAGGTTCTGAAACCCTCCAGGGTGGCAGCAGCTTTGGCGGAGCTGACTTCACATCAGAGAATGGTCCCAATGCCAGGCTCGGTCAGCTTGGAAAAAGACACCACATGAGTTAAATGCAAATGCGTGGGCACAACTACACAAAAGCCCAGCTGGAAAAGGACCCGACTGGCAATGCAGCTGGAGCAAAAGTCCTCCCCAGCCCAAGTCCTTGGATCAACATGGACTCTCCATAGCTGGAGGGAACAGCAAGGTCCCCCACTCACCTGTGTAGAAGCTGGAGTTATTATTATTCTCTTGCTCGAAGATGCTCTTGGTCTGCGAGTCGAATCGGAGCCATAGTCCGATGGCAAGAACCGCGATCCCGGCAAGCTGCAAGACACACGGGACATCGGCGTGAGCCTGGCTGTCAGGAACAGCGTGGTGCCCTATCTCAGGTGAGCTGCCCTTGGCCTCTGCCCCTCACCGGGCACCTGGAAGTAGCAGCAGCCAGGTGGGGGTGTGGGAAGGGGATCGAGCCATTTGCTAAAAATACCAGCCAGTTGGGAATAAACAATTATCTACCAGCAGTACGGGGATGGATACCTCGTGGACAACAGAATATTATACAGCCGTGAAAATGAACCAGCCACAGTTTGTGCAATGCTACGAGTGCATCTCACGATGTTAATCAGAAGAAGTAAAAAGCACCGGACATGTACAATACGATTCCATACAGGTAAAAACTCTTGTTTAGGAGGGCGTGTATATCATAACAGAAAAAGAAGGAAGTGATGATCATAAAGTCGAGTGAGTGGTGGCCTGTAGGGAGGGCGGGGTTTCTGATGAGGGAACAGAACGGAGGTGGGGGGGGTGGGGAAGGCGGGTCTAGGGCACTGGCGATATTCTAGCTTTGACTTGGGTGGTAGTGGCCTGGATATTCACTTCATAATTATCCTTCACACTGTTTGTGTTTTCTGCACTCCTCTGTATATATACCAGACAATAAAAAAAAAAGAAAAAACATCGCCCAACGCGTAGGTACCTCCCTGGGCTGTGAGGGCAGCTGTGATTCTGGACTAAACCATGCTGCTCAGTGAAACCTACCCACAGCTGGCGCCTCTCTCTTCACACAGGGAAGCCTAACAAGCTGACCCACCCGACTCCAGGCTTAGGTGGACATTTACTTACGGGTGATCCTTGTAAACATTAGACAAGAAATCTCCAGAGGATTGTCCGATCCTATAATTTAGTGAAAATCCTATTTCATAGGTGGGCAAGTTGAGATACTGGACCCTAAAGGGCAGACTCTCCCAGTAAGGAAAGACTGCGGCATCAATCCTGGCCCGTCAGGCACTGCTGAACTTGATGCCAGGGAGGAGGCCCCCTGCCAAGCCCCGCCAGGCCAGCTGAGCTCCCCTCCCCACTGCTGCTGGCCTGTACCAGGGCTTGCTGGGGTGACTCACAGGCTGTGGGTGGTGGCCGGCTGGATGAGGGTGTGTGGGCTCAGGGCCAATGCCCAGCCCTAGGTTTCGCTGGCCCACCCTCCTCAACAGAGGCACCCTGTGTCAGAACCCTCCTCCTCAGGGAGCTGGGTTCTTTGCCCCAAGGGCCAGGACAGCCTGCAGTATAGACAGCCCTCTTCTCTGTCTCTGCTTCTCTCCTTTTCCCATGACTTTGCAGCGGGTTTGGGCGTGCTGGGTGGAGAGTGGAGACAGCAACAGTGGGAGGGGCGACCCAAGACTTCACACTGCAGTAGAGTTAAAACGTTGTCTACAGGGAATTCCCTGGCGGTCCAGTGGTTAGGACTCTGTGCTTCCACTGCAGGGAGGGCCCAGGTTCAATCCTGGTCGGGGAACTAAGATCCCGCATGCTGCCTGGCGCGGCCAAAAAAAAAAAAAAAACCCTTGTCTACTCCCGTAGAGGTGTCCACAGTGAGGGTCTGGAATTCCTTAGAGCTCTATCGCTTCAGATCTCTTATCTGGCGAACACGCGTGATAAGCTCGGATGCTCTGGTTCAGTCTGGGTTCTCCTAACTCTCAGGACCTCTTAGAACAAGGGCCCAGCTGGGAAATCTCGGTGCACTGGGGACTGAGACCCAAGACCCTGGTCTAGCTCCCCTGGGGTCTTGGAGAGTTATAAGAAAGGAGGTAGCAGTTCCCCCTTCTCCACCCCCAACACAAGCAGGCCCAATCAGACTCCTGGAGAATGGAAGGCGGAGGCCATTGGCCTCTTTGGGGATGTGAAAGCATTAGCCTGAAAAGCCAGGAGGCTGGAGCTTCACACGCACTTGCAGGTAGTCCTAGACTGTGGTTAGCACTGAGCCACAAGCCCTGGCCTCAGTCTCCCCTCTCGCCCTTATCTTGGCGGGGCTGTCGCTGACAGCACCTGGGCCTGAGAGAGCCGTGTCCTTTCACGCACGTCCTTTCTGCTCTAGGCTGCCTGCACGTATCCAAGGCTTATCCTCCAGTCATTCTCCCTGTGGATAAAGTTACTCATCCACGCCTTACTCTGCTGGAAAAATTCTTAAACGAGTCACCACAAAAGGAACAAAACCAATCCCGTCCAAAAGAACGAAGCTACAAAGATGATGACAGCTCCGCTCTGCCCAGAAGCTTGTCAGGCCAGGAGCTGGGTCTCTTTGGGAGTGATCCCATGCACAGGTAACAGCACCCAAACGAAACTTCCAGTTTTAGTCTTGAGGATCCTGAGCCAGTCGTTTACCTTTGACCTGGCCCACACGCACAGGTGGCAAGAAGAACACTGTGTGGAGAATAGTGTCCCAGAAGGTCCCACCCCGGCCAAGGACAAGGCCAGATACAGGAGAGGAGTCCAGGGTCCTGCCACATCTGGACACCATCCCAGACCTAACATCAGGAGGAAGGAAAAGTGGCTGGCTCTGCAGAAGTGGGAAAAGCATGGGACTTCCCTGGCGGTCCAGTGGTTAAGACTCTGCGCTACCACTGCAGGGGGCGCAAGTTCGATCCCTGGTTGGGGAACCCACATGCCACGTGGTGCGGCCAAAAAAAAAGAAGTGGAAAAAGCAGTAATACATCTCAGTTTCTTATGCCTAAAAACTCACCATGAGTGAGGAGGAAGGTTCAAGAAACCCAGGAGGAAGGGAGGACAGGGGCGGGACTGGGAGGCTCGGTTCACCAAAATCACAGAGAAATGAGCACTGCTGCCCGTTTTGTTTGAATTACTGAGTTAACTGGCCTGAAGGGATGCTGCCAACAGCTGCCCCGTTTTCTGTAACGCTATTGGAGAAACTGCTTCAGTTGGCTGGAGGTCACAGGGCCATGACACCACTTAACAGTGGCCTTCCCGGGTGTGCAGGCAGTGCTATCTGCGGAGCTCAGAGCACTTCCCAGGAGGGCACACTGTTCGGTGTGCACAAAGGGGTCCCCCAGCCCCCCACCTGGCTCTCGTCCCCAGCTACTTGAGTCCTAGGAGAAACCAAACAGGAATGACCAGCAAGCAGCAAAAAGAGCTTCAACCTTTAAAAAAGGTGCCACCGCAATGTTCAAAGCAGCACTATTCACAGTAGCTAAGACATGGAAGCAACCGAAGTGTCCATCGACAGATGAATGGATAAAGAAGATGTGGCCCATATATACAGTGGAATATTACTCAGCCATAAAAAAGAATGAAATAATGCCATTCGCACCAACATGGATGGACCTAGAGATGCTCATACTAAGTGAAGTAAGAAAGAGAAAGACAAACACCATATGATATCACTTATATGTGGAATCTAAAATATGACACAAATGAACTTATTTACGAAACACAAACAGACACACAGACATAGAAAACGAAAGGGGAAAGGGGATGGGGGAGGGATAAATTAGGAGTTTGGAACTAGTAGATACAAACTACTATATATAAAATAGATAAACGACAAGGTCCTACTGTATAGAACAGGGAACTATATTCAATATCCTGTAATAAACCATGATGGAAAAGAATATGAAAAAGGGTATCTATATATGTATAACTGAATCACTTCGCTGTACACCAGAAACTAACACAACATTGTAAATCAACTACACTTCAATTAAAAAGGGTGCCAGCAAGTTATTGAGGGACTCCATAAAATAAGGAAATAGGGGTCTGGGGGACCAAGAAGTTGACCGTTTCCTCCAGGGTTAATGAGCAGTACATTGCAGGAATGTCAGCCACACAGAGGCCACAGCTGCAGCCCGCCTCTTACCCATCATGGCAGGACTAGAGTGCGCAGGCCGAGGATGCTCAGACAATTCCCTGCTCATGGGGTCCCTGAAAGAGGGCAGCGACCTGCCCACCATCACCAACCGGTCTGGTGGGGACAGAAGCAGAAGGTACAGCCCCTCCACTCCCAGCCCCAGGCTCTGCCCAGTCGGCCTGGTTACCGCTTTCCAACAAAAGCCAAAGGGACGCATTCCGCCTTCAGGCCAGAAAAGGTCCCACCCATTTGATATCGCAGGGAAAAAGAACAGTTTTCCCCAACGTTTTATTGGAGATTTCTTTATTTCCTCACACACGCTCAGTTTCTTCTTAGAAGATGGGCCAGGAGAAAAACACGAGACAAAACCTAACCTGCGGACATTCTACAAAATACTTGACCAGAATGTCTCAAAACTGTCAGGATCGGGCTTCCCTGGTGGCGCAGTGGTTGAGAGTCCGCCTGCAGATGCAGGGGACACGGGTTCGTGCCCCGGTCCGGGAGGATCCCACATGCCGCGGAGCGGCTAGGCCCGTGGGCCATGGCCGCTGAGCCTGTGCGTCCGGAGCCTGTGCTCCGCAACGGGATAGGCCACAACAGTGAGAGGCCCGCGTACCGAAAAAAAAAAAAACTGTCAGGATCATGAAAAATGAGGACAGACAGAAACTGTTACAGACCAGAGGAGACGGAGGAGACAGGACACTTGTCATGTGGTATTGTGGGTGGGATCCTGGAACAGAAAGGGGACTGGGCTGGAAAACTAAGTGAAATCCGAGTAAGTCTAGCTTAGCTAAGAGTAACGTACCAATGCTGGTTTCTGAGCTGTGACAAATGTGCCCAGGGAATATAAGCTGTGAACAAGAGGGGAGACGGGGAGGAGTACAAGGGGACTCTCTGTAGTATCTCTGCAACTTTTCTGTACCTCTAAAGCTGTTCTAAAACTCTGTGTATGCGTGTATGTGTGTATGTGTGTAGTGTGTATGGTGGGGCCTCTCCTTCAAAGCTTCCTGTCTGCTTCAAGAACCTGCTCCATTGGGCTTCTCTGGTGGTGCAGTGGTTGAGAGTCCGCCTGCCGATGCAGGGGACACGGGTTCGTGCCCCGGTCCGGGAAGATACCACATGCCACGGAGCGGCTGGGCCCGTGAGCTGTGGCCGCTGAGCCTGCGCGTCCGGAGCCTGTGCTCTGCAACGGGAGAGGCCACAACAGTGAGAGGCCTGCGTACCGCAAAAAAAAAAAAAGAACCTGCTCCATTAATCCACCTCTTTCCTGCCTCTGTTTCACTTTTTTAAAAAAATTTATTTTTTATACAGCAGGTTCTTATTAGTTATCTATTTTATACATATTAGCGTATATATGTCAATCCCAATCTCCCAATTCATCCCACCACCCCGCCACTTTCCCCCCTTGGTGTCCATATGTTTGTTCTCTACATCTGTGTCTCTATTGCTGCCCTGTAAACCGGTTCATCTGTACCATTTTTCTAGGCTCCACATATATGCGTTAATATACGATATTTGTTTTTCTCTTTCTGACTGACTTCTGCCAACACACATGGGCAGGTCTGTCTATCCTAAAAAAAACCCAGAAAACAAACCGTCTCCTCCTCCAACTGCACTGCTCCTCCTGGCTGCTCTGTGCTTTAAACCCTGAGCCTGTAGCTAAACCACCTCCAAGTCCTCACTCAGTAAGGAGTCCCCGTGGGGCCCCCTGCCCTTCATGTAGGACAGTGGCCATTCCTCTGAAAGGCTCAGACGGCTTGGGCTGTCACCGAGTGTTAAGGCTTCTACTCCATCCTTGCACTTCTGGATCTCTAAGCAGTAACAACATTGAACCCTGCTTCCTTCTCCCCTGCTCCTTAGATGGAATCCCTCAAAGTTTCCCAAATAAGTCTCGTAAATCCCGCCTCAGCTGGAGGGAGCCCCTCCTCCTGGAAGGCTGTCCAGACCACCTAGGCCAGCTGCTTCCCCACCAAGACGTCCTCAGCTTCCTCCCCAGGAAATGTGAGCCCCACTCCGCACGGGTCCTCCCCAGCATCCTCGCTCCCTCCCTTCCTGTTTACATTCTCCTGGAGGGCAGGATGAGTTCTTGGTCATTTCAGTAGCTCCCCTGCACCCCATCCATACTTGGGACCAAACAGTCATTAGTAAATCATTATTCAATAAGTGAAGGATGACTTCAATGAAAGAGAAGCTCTGAAGCCCATCAGAATTTCCTCTCCTGGGTCCTCTCACCTTGGACAAGCCTCCTTTCCCACCGGCTTGTCATCCAGACCCATCTTCCAACATCTCCCAACAAGGGTCAGAAACTACAAAGAACAACTACTTGCCCAGAATAAATACTGAGAAAGAGCCATGAGGGTATGTGATGAATGTCACAGTGAGATTTAGGGGCACGTCCACATCAAGTCTTTTGGAAAATGAGGGTTTATAAAAAGTCCATGCCCTGCTGTGCTCACCGCCCACCGAAGTCCAGTTAGACACTCCAATCCTTTTTTTTAATGCATTCATTTTTTATTTAATAATACTTGATTAAAGATGACTAGATATAATTAAATAAAGTAAACCTTTAACATACATAGCTTTGGATATCATTATACTTTTTAATAGCAATATTCAAGTAGTGATGGGTGTTTAATTCTTTCACTCTAAAATATATGTGACCGGACTCCCCTGGTGGTCCAGTGGCTAAGACTCTGTGCTTCCAATGCCTGGGGACCTGGGTTCGATCCCTGGTAGGGCACTAGGTCCCACAGGCCGCAAGTAAAGATCCCCATGCTGCAACGAAGATCCCGCGTGCTGCAACTAAGACCCCACGAAGCCAAATAAATAAATATTAAAAAAAAAAATATATATGTGACATTTTAGATGTCTGGTGATAGGTGTTGAATTCATCACTCTAGAATATCTGTGAATTTATGATTTTGAAGTTTTTCTGGATGACAGATGTTTCAGAATTGGGTGAAAGTCTCAGAAAAAGTCTGAAAAGCATCGCTATAATTTTCCATACAACCTCTAGAGTTCACAGACACTCTGAAACCATTCATAAAACCTGGAGGGTATGGATTCCACATTGTGAGTACTTGGATAGACCCTCCAATCCTTGAGGAGCACACAGGTAATCTGGTCACCTGGGGTGGATGCCAGCTTCAGGAGGCGTGAAAGCCAAGCCCCACCCCGGGCGGGCCCAGCTTCCTGTCCTGTCCTCTCCTCTCCCCTGGCTGAAAGCACAACACGCCCAAGGCTCCCTCCCACGCAGAGATGGGTATTTCAGTGAGTCACACCGGACCCATAGGCACAGGCCTAGAAATCTTACACTACAACACACACCCGGGGTTAAAGGAAAGGTCTCCAATTCCAAGGGGCGAATTGAAAACAAATCCTAAGTGCAGTGTTGCTTAGGGGCACCTGGCTTCTCTGGACCCCCTGCTGAGTTTGCAAAGCCTATTCCAGCTGGAGCCCGAGAATGCCGTACCACCGAAACGCCTGAAGCAAGCGTGCAGAAAGGTGGGAGGTGACGAGGTGACACAGAGGAAAAGGGCAACCGGCTGACTGCAGAGGTTTCTGTGTGTGTGTGTGTGTGTGTGTGTGTGTCTGTCTGTCTGTCTGTGTGCGTGTATGTGTCGCCTTGCATCCCATCCCTCAGGTGGAAGGAACCATGTCTCCCCGTGGGGGAAACCCCACTTCAAAGAAAAATCCTCCCAAGGCAAACACATTGGGTGGTCTTGGCTTGGGCCTCTTTCCTCTCGGTCCCCTCTGTCTT